TATGTGTATTCAAAGTGGTTAGGATAGATATATAGTTACATTCTCTTAATGAATAGAATGATTTGTTCTAATGGTGTCTGTAAATAGGATCTCAAGTCTGCATCTTGTACAGGAATTAACCACTAAGAAGAATGTATGCAGTGTGTTAGTTATTGAAACTGTCCTACTGATTTGATTTGAAACTGTCTCATTGCTATTTGTTTATCAATAAAATTATTGGAAAAAGAAAGAAAAAAGAAAAATATGGAACACTGAGATGTATTTCTAATGGCAACAAAGCAATTTAATCGAAATTAAAATGCAATCACTTCACTTACAAAATATAAAGATAAGAACCACACACATTTCTGCCATAACTGTAAGGTCAACACCCTATGACTTACTATTAAAACAAAGCATTCAATTTAGAAACGCAGCATTCACAAGGATGTTAAAATCCAGTATCTTAGATATTCACACAATGCTCTAAAATGAGAATTAAAATTATCAATTCTTGAGGAAACTAAAATACCAAGAGATAAAGTAACAGATTCAAGGTCACAGCAAGTAAATATCAAAGCAGAGAGCTGAGCCAAAGCTGTTGGTCTCCATTTATCGATTAGGCCATCTTGCACAATTATTACTGTATCACTTACTTTAAACTCTCCTAACTTAGCATTCCACACTTGGAAATCACTCATGTATGAATCTACTTGACTCAGTATAGCCACCATTGTCCAAGTATGAACACACTTGGAAATTATTTCAAGTATGGTTTTTATATCTTGTATAAATTATTTAGAAGATTTGAAATACTAAAAGTCTTACCCAAGAGGTATATATATCTTCAGAACACATTGTATTTAACACTTTTCTTATTATTCCAAGTAAAAGACATTTTCTTTCAGAAACAAACAAACCATATACTTCTTAAAATAGTGAAAAGCTATGGAAGGTAAATACTTCTTGTGTACCATTTCAAAACCTTTTCGTTTTTACAAGCTTCTGCTGTATTATACATGTGAAGAAAATTTATACATAGTACATATTGCCAACAATAGTACACTTAAAGCACAGAAGATAAACATGCCAAAGAACATTCTGAAACTTTTTCTAGCTTTAAAACATATAAATTTAAATAATTCTTTTATTAAAAGGTATTTTAAAACCAAACACCCCAAAAATCCCAATCCAAGGGTTTGCTTACTTTGCGAGCGAAGTCTCCTTTGCCCTTACTGTAGGCTTTATTTTCAAGGAAGTCATATACAGAGTGAGCCAAAGCTGGGCATGCTTTCATCATTTCAGGAGTTAACAGCAACTAATGAAGAAATTCAAAGTGATGATGCTAAGAAACTTGTTGCTTATAATTTCATCTCTTAAAAACAATGTAAAAATTTTAATTCTGTATTTTGAAAAACAATTGCCCTGTTAAAATAGTACCAATAACTTGGAGGTAGATAGGCCCTTCCTGTTACTTTGACATTCAGTACATATGCTGTGCAAGTTGTCCAAAAATACTTGCTGATTTTAATATATATTCTGACCACACATCTGATACCAAGATGTCACATTACAAATGCTAAAATTCACATAATGCTAAAATCAACATTAATAACAACAGAATCTTATGAAGCAGAAAACAAAAAATAAGCCAAACAAAAACTTTCAAATGTTATAAAGAAGTTCCAAACAAAATAATGCTTTCACAATGTCAATAATTATTTTACAGCTTAGTTCTTTTAATGGAACAACTTGTAACATACTGAATTTATGAGCTAATGCATGGTACAATCACAATTAAAAGGTATATTATAGGGCCAGATATGGAAAGATGTTGTCATTTTCTAAATCTTACAATAATTCATAGATTTTAATGGAACTGAAGTTTACAGTCTTTTAAAAAAAATTCAAAACTTTCAACAAGGGTCATAAAGGGTCATAATAAATGATACCAGATGATAAGCTTTAAATCAAGAGAGGACAAAGGTGAGCAACAACAGAATTTGTTATTTTTGCAGTCTAGTAAGTCAATACATAATAACATGGAATTATAATAATGACTATAACAAACCCAGTCACAGCTATAAATATTTTAAGATGAAAGGAAAATACAATCTGCCAATAAAAACATTTAGTGTATCATTAGCTAATTTTCACTAAATTCTACCATAGGAGTCAACAAAATTTTTCTGTTAATAGACAGATAGTTATTATTTTTGGTTTTGAGGTGCATAGTGCCTCCATTGTAGCTATTCAACTTTGCTATGTTCCAATGAATCTCTTTTAGTAAAAAGGCAGGTAGTATATTGGTTGGATCCAAGTTTGTAGTGTGAAGATCTCCATTCTAGAGGATAGGGAGCTAAATAATGGAACACTATAAACCTGATGCTTTCTCTGACATACATGCAAACTTCCTAAGCCACTAATTAGTTAAAATAAACTAGTTATTTTTGGAGTCCTAACAATTTAAGTAACAAATAACTTGTACATTATGTGTTCTTCCACAAGAGAAAATTCTATATCCAGTACAGTACCCATAAGAAATAACCCTTCAGGGGCCGGGGAGATGGCTCAGTGGAATAAGCGCTTCCCTGGCAAGCTCAAGGACCTGAGTTCGAGCCCCGGTTCCACCAAAAAAAAACCACAAAACAAAAAAAAAAAAAAAAAGAAATAACCCTTCAGATCTACCCTAGAAGCCTTATAATCACTCTAGGCCATGTGAGACAGTTATACACATCTTTCTGAGAACAGGGATCAACTAGATTTGAAACACCATTAAGAGTATTATGCACTGACCTGAGAACACTTAACTATCATAAAATACCTACAGTAATCTAGAATGGCTATTACCTGAACACAAAAAAGCACAATCAAATGGTTAGAAAACTTCTAAGTTAATCAGTAAATGCAGAAATAATGTTTACATATAACTGTAAAGATTACATGAAACATTTAACATGGTGCTCAGAAGCGACTGTAGTTATCACAATATTACAGTTGAAAAAGGATATGAATTGAACCTAGGGCCAAAGGCACGTCAGGTACACCACCTCTGCCTCAGCACAGCCTCCAGTCCCATTCTTTAATGAAGAAATCTACTGTGTGTAATGTGTAACATGAATATCTATAGTAAAAACAGTAGTAAACATCCATTTACCTGTAAATAGGCATTTAGATCCTTTTTCCTCTTTTCTAAAAAATCTCTATCCATATTATTAAAAGTCTTCTTACCAGGAAGCTTCAATATGCTTGACAGATTTTCAAACTAAAAGACAAAATATGTTCAGTAGTCTTAATTTTTATAAAGAGAAAATAATTTTTCATATGATAACTTCCCTACATATCAAAAGTATTTTCAAGAAATGATTTGTAAAGTTTTTTATACGAAGTAAAAAGCAAGGAAAAAAAGTCAACTAGGTCCAAAACACTGTTCTAATGGTATTACAAAGAATTTTCAATAAAGAATGAAAAACTAATGAAATGGACATTGATCGTATGAGAATTTCATTTTAATGTCTAATTTTCATTTCAATTTTGAAATGATTCAAACTTTTCATCAAAAGGAGGTTCATCATGGCTAAGGAGATAGGTCAGTGGTCTAAGTGCCTGCCTGGCAAGCACAAGGACCCAAGTTCGATCCCTGGTACCACATGCTGAGCTGGCCATCAAAATCTGAGGCAGTGGCACATGTCTGTAATCTCAGCACCTGGGAGGCTGAGACAGGAGGATCACTCTGAGTCCAAGCTGCACAGTGAGGCCCTGTATCTAAATAAATAAATAAATAGTCCATCACTACCCCATCCCTAGCACTGCAATTAAACCCAGAGCTGCTCCACTCTCTAATACTTTGTACTGTTTTATTTTGAAATAGGGTCTCAGTAAGTTTTTCAGGGAAGCCTTTGAACTTCAGATTTTCCTGCCTTGGCCACTCATGTAGTTGAGATAACAGCTGTGTGCTAAAGGCAAAAGGTTTTAAGAAATAATTTTCTTAACTACCTCTTGGTGAATAAGATATCAACAAAATTTTTAATTACCCATGAGTTCCTGGCTTGCTGAAAAACCTACTAAGAGAGTATGTTTAATACTAGTGATTATAAATGTATGAATCACTAATATGTAACTATTAGAAAAGACAAATTTCAAAATATAGCAGCCTGAATCCCGGCCACTGCACTCTGCCTAAGCAGGCGCTTTAGTCCACTAAGCTATCTGGCCAACCCTATAAATCTAATACTTACAAAAACCACAAATACTATGTATATATATGCCAGTTATTTTAAGCCTTATCTTTTTATATTAAACACAGCAGGGTTAGATCTTGACATACTACTCAAAAATATAAAAATCACACTTGAAATTGTTATTAAGAAAAATTCAAGGGGCTGGTGAGATGGCTCAGTGGTCTGGAGCACCTACTTCGGACAGGCTTAGCGGAGCACAGGGACCGCGGTTCAGTCCGCCCCCCCCCACATGCCAGCCCGCCCCGCCCCCTGGTGGGCTGAGCTGGACACACACACACACACACACACACACACACACACACAAATAAATAAATAAATAAATTTTTTAAAAAAGAAAACTTCAAACTGTGTTAATATTCAAGCATGTAACTCAGTTATATAATGAATACTTAGTATTACATTACAACTGATATTTTCACCTTATTATATCCATATTTATATTAATTTTAGCTGTACTTAATTTCATTCAATAAAACAAAAATGTATTTTATCTATTAGAATGCATATTCCTAAGGAAAAGTCTTACACTGCCTTATTATTCACTTTTACTTTTCTAATGCTGAGAAAAATACGGGACATATAGGAAAATCTCAGTTAAGTATTTACTGAATAAATGAATGGGCAATTCAGGATGTTTCTAAAAGCATATGACATTTACTAACATTTTTTTTGCATGTTGTAAGTCTTCATATAATGCCAAATTAGATTTTATTTTTATTTTTTGTATGTATTTGGTACAGAATCTCACTATGCAGTTCAGACTCATAGTGATACCCCTGTTGAAAGCCTCCCCGGCTCTGGGCTTACAGATGTGCACCACCATGCCTGGATTCTGTGGCCAGCTCAGCATGCCCGGGGCAGGGCTGGCAAGGCAGGTAGTGCTTGGGATGAAACTGCAGTCACCGTGCTTGCCGAAGCAGGTACTTTAATCTGTTGAGCTATCTTGCTAGCCCCCCAAATTAGATTTTAACTATCTTTAAATAAGTGATAGCACATATATTTAGACTGAAAGAGCATACCTCACAAAGTTAGATAAACAAAATGAAATCTGTTTGAAAAAAATCTGCCTATGAAGTTAATAATTATTCATGTCAACAGGTTGTACTGTTACCAACTGGTGAATTAATGACCACTGAAATTTTTCTTTTTGTAGAGAATTTAAAATTTAAAAATACAGGTTTATTAAGGAAGAAATAGCAGCCTACCTTATTCACAGATGTTTAATATTACAGCAAAAGCTAATTTTCACCTACAGTATTAGTTTCAAATTAAGTTCTGTGAACAATCAAATATTAACTAATAATAACTACTATGGCTTTAAAAAACAAAATGAAAACACGCCTCCTTCATATACACTGAACCATCTGAAAAATTGTACTGTATCAATTTTATTTAATTTTTAGTACTATATTGAAAGGGAAAATTTTGTACGGACTGTCTTACTAACAGATTTTTGTTTAAACAATACATTCCTTACTTACAACATTTGTCAATGTGTGAAAATATTCTTACCAAGAATATTTTCAATTATGGCATTCTTCTTTGTAGAAAGAAAATTTTAACAATTTGCACAATGAAAATTTTATGTTCAACAAATTCCCATTAATTTTCACTAAGTAGAACTAGTTTAGCAACTAAAATTACTTTGAATAATTCTAATATTTAGTAAAAGTGTAGGGATAGGAAGAAATATAAGACTATGCTTTTAAAATAATTATCAAATAATATTTGAAAGACTAAAGCAATTATTTCTTTAGTGTAGGTCAGAAAATTATTTCACCTTTGTAAATAAATTATTCTGAGCCAGGCATGGTGGCGCACACTGGGTAAACCCAAAACTTGGGAGGCTGAGGTAGGAGGACTGCTGCAAGTTCAAGGCCAACCTGGACTCCATAGAGAGTTCAAGGCCAGGCTCAAGTACTTACAAGACCCAGTCTCTAAACAAATGAACAAACAAGAAAATAAAAGATCTATTCAACAAAAGTACGGACATATGAAAATTATTCATTTTATCAAGAATTAAAAATAATTCCATTATCATAGGATTCAAGAGTCAACAGTAACCTTTTAAAAGTCACACTGAAGCTATTAATAGTTTATTTAAAAACAGCCCCAAATATTTTAATATTACCATGTATCAACCACACTTTTTCCACCATTTTAACTAAACACATTTTTTTATTACTAGAGTAGTACAATAGCATGCCAAAGCTTTATCTTAATCAAATTAACTTTATTATGTTTAATGGCTTAACATATATATCTAAAAACCTTGAGTGAATTCGATTTTCAAGAATGAAAATAAAGCGGGGTAGGGAGATGGCTCTGTAGAATAAACGCTTGCCTGGCAAGCATAAAGGGTCTAAGTTCAATCCCCAGTTCCACAAAAAAAAAAAAAAAAAAAAAAAAAAAAAAAAAAAATTCCATAGATCATCTATTTAACTTTATCTGGTCATGTTTTACTTTTTCTAAGCTTAGAAGATAAAACATGTAATCAAAAATAGGTAAGGAAAATAGTTTAAGAGTCCTTCTACTTCTAAAAAATGAGATTTCTTTAGTAAGAACTAAAAACATAATCTGAGGGCCAGCCAAATAGCTCAGCGAACTAAACTCAAGCTTGGTGGCACATGCCTATAATCCCAGCTCTTGGGAAGGTGTAAACAGGAGAATCACTAGGAGCCCAGTCTAGTAGTGTGACCCTGAACACCCTGTAGATCCTTCCCTAAAATACAAAATAAAATAAAAAAACCCAATCTGGTTAATGTAAAATTTACTTTAGGTTGTCATTCTGAGTAACTTAAGGAAAAGTTCTAGGGTTTAACTATTACACTTTGGAGAAAGTTGACATTGAAAATAACTGTAGTTCTGAATTATGCTTCAAACAACAAAAGCATGAAACATAATCCAGCAACTTCCATCCCTACTCTAAATACCTCTACAAAGCACCAAACACACACACACACACACACACACACACCCAAATCAGAAATATATGCTCATTTTAATTTCCCAAGGTGTAATACTCATATTATCTCACTAGTCCACAATGGGTAAGAATGGTTAAGATTCTCAAAACAGATTTATTAATTAATTCCTTGAAATCATTCTAACATTTATGCTGATTATATAAAACATTATGCTTTTCATTAGTTTTGGTTAACATCTGAAGATTCATACAAAAATTTACAATCAAAATTTCATCAAGGAATAATATAAAGCATATAGGTAAAAACTTCATTACCTGTTCAGTAATTCTCATGTGGAAGTCATGGAAGTCACTGTAACGACGATAGGTTTTCCACATCTCCTCAGTGTTCAGGTTGCGCCGGTGCACAGTGATGGCATACAATGCGTATGTCTTGCCATGATCGTTACAAACACCTGCCACAGCATATGGGTCACAGTCAGCATATACTTGCCATTTAAAATAAATGAAGAGAAACAAAAGACACAAAGGAAGTTGAAGATGAAAATAAATAAATAAATAAAAATTAAAATAAATAACATGAAGAACTTAAAATGAAAGACTGAGAAGAAAGGATGTCAACAAGGGATAAAACATTTCTTTCTAAGCTCTGTATTATGTATGTAACTGTATAAGGACAACAGCATAAAATAAGCTAAAAGTTTAGTATGATACTACCAATCACAAAATGATTCTCATTTGGGGTTTTCTTTCCCAGAACTTTTACCTATTATTAATGATATTACCTTGGCACCACCTCAGAGTATAACACTGGGCTTTCTTAAATTTTATAGAGAAAAGATAATGGAAACAACATAACTGCTTACACTAGTATTCACTATTCGGTTGAAGTTTGGTGAAAATGTTTTCAACTAAATTTTTTGCTTTTTTCATATAATTTATTCTTGCCTTAGGATGTCTGTGAATATTTTAATCATACTCAGTTTATGTTGTGTGAAGACTGACAGGGGCCAGGGAGATAGCTCAATGGTACATGTGCCTGTCTGGCAAGCACAAGGTCCTGGATTTGATCCCCCATTTAAAAAAAAAAAAAAAAAAAAAAGACTGACATTTCCAAGTTCTTAGGACACCATATACCTCACTTGCCGGGTCTGTTGACTCTCCCTTATTGTGGCTCTTATTTCTTCCTGTGTCTTTAAACTGTTTTCTATAAATTCACTTTCAACAGGTAGTGTTCGCTGATGGGCATTCTGAGTGTTCTGGGCCATGGAACCATTTGCAATGCCCACTAATGCCACTAAAACTATGGTTTCTTTAGAACTATTTTAATATAGGTGGCCCTCTGAATCTGGGGGTTCTACACTGAGAAATTCAACTAATCATGCACTGAAATGTTTTTAAAAACATGTTTGTACTAAAAACATATACTTTTATTCTTGTCATTATTATCTAGTCAATATAATACAACTAATTTTGTAGCATTTACTTTCCATCAGGAATAATAATCTAGAGATGATTCAAAGTATTTGCGAAGATATGCATAGGTTATACGCAAATATTGTACCATTTTATAAAAAAGGATATGAGCATCTCTTAATTACCATTATACAAATAATAAATGATTCTGGCCTCCACAGAGACCCTGGAACCAATACTGCAGAGACTGAGGTAAAACTGTACTAACTCTGGTCTCAGATCCTGGCTACACATTACTTGAGGACTTCTAAGCCAAACATATCAATGGTGGGATAAAAACTGGACTTCTAATTTCTTATGGGTGACAGATACTATTTCCAATCACGATCTTAACATTTACCCTGCCCTCTCTTAAAACTTAAAAAGATAAACTGAGTTTTTCTAGTTCCTCTTCCACCTCATGCTGCTATTTACAACTCTGAGCTTTATCCATTTCTAAACAAGAGTTGGCATGGCAACAAAGAAATGGTTTTATCAGTTGTGTCCCAAGACAGATTGGGAAAAAGAAAAAGCAGAGGACAATTACCATAACTATAACCGTTTCAAGGTAACAAGAGCAAGGAAGACAGTAAGGGTTGCAAAAACAAGAAAGAGTAACATAACAAAGCATTCTAAAAGAACAAGGATTTGTTCCAAACTGCCAGGCAGGGAAGATTACTGAGGTATACATATATAACAGGAAGAATAATGAGGCTTCTATTAAAAAAGAGAAGGGCAGAAGACAAAGGTAATGTGATTTCAAAAGATGAGAATGAGGCTACCATGGTGATTTTGAGAAAAAAGCAATAAAACTAGGTTTTCTTTTCAGTACAGTGATATTGTTTATGGGAGGCAGTCTACAGATCACTTTTTCTTAATCCCTATTAAGTTAGGGAACTATCATCACAATGTTAATAACTTCACTAATGACATTGCTTAATTTCACCAATTTTTTAAAAGTAAGATTTATTAATGAAGGAAGCAAGCAGACACTAGAGTTCATGAAGCACTGTGAACAGCACTGCACTGGACTATTAATCTTTAGGCTCTATAGTAGGTGTATTAAGGACGTTGAGATCCAAACTCTAGTATTCAACTAGAAAAATAAATATTTATGAATGAACATTTATATAATAGACACCATGTTTAATAACATAGTTAATTTGTCCCATAACCACCATATGAGGTAGGTGCTGTTATTATTACATTTAACAGATTAGGACATTGCAAGTATAGAGAAACAAACTTCACCCAACTATTAATAGAGGAAGGTTGGAATCGCAGCAATTCACTGAAAGAGTTGTGCTCTGAATCACAATACTATGCTGCCTCTTCAGAATCAATGTTTGTCTGATAAAAAACTATTAAAAATTTTAGCATAATACTTTCCATCCACTTTTAAAAGCTAGTAAACTCTTATTGAATAAATAACAAATGGTCAAAGCAGCTGGAAAGTCCTGACCTTCAGGAAAGAGAAATATTAACAACAGAAACAGACATGTATCTCTTTATACTTGTAAGTTCAAGGTTGCCAAAAAATAAAAAGATAAATACTAATTGAACATTTGCACCTTAACAAAAACTCTCATAATTTGAAGATGAACAAATAAAGGATGTTTAAAAGAATCTTAAACCACAGAAACCAACTGGAAAAAAAAAAAATGGAGCAACTATCAAAAGCTAGAAACAAAATTTCACAGAAATTGCTGTAATTGGCAATGGTGATACTTCATGACATTTAACAACAATCTATGTACCAACTATATGCAAAAGATAAAAGGACAACTGAGTCAGCAAACATAGTTAACTTATTCCATAAATCTGGCAAGTAAGAAAGTGCAGAATGATACTCTAGCTCCAGTGAGAAGCAAAATAAAACAAAGAAGCTCATAAAATGAAAATTAGTGTTTTTTTTTTAAATGCACTTAACACTATGGGGTCTTTTTGGGGGGGATCTTTTCTTAATATCTAAATTATAAGAATGATACTGAATTGAGGTATGTTATGTTTGAACTTCAGTATGAGTTCTAGGAATAGTAAGATAAGAAAAGTATCATTATCTAATATTCATCAGCAGTATCTAATAAATGCAACAGTAATGAAAGAAATTTCTCCCCTGGGTACACGAACAATTCTGTATTTGTTGGCTGATTCTGATGTTCTACAGATTTCTCAGCCCACTGAAGTGTATTCTGAACTTCTACAAACTTAAGAACAGAGAACCTTCATTTACTCTAATCATCTAGTCTGACTCTGCATGTATGGAAGCAAAAACTGAACTGAGATCTCCCAAAATAAGAACTAAGCAAACAATTAACAGCTAGACTCACATATATAAAGAGGAAAAGATTTGTTCCAGAATTTATTAGAGCTTTCTCAAATGTTAATGGCAATATCACAAAGAAGAAAATATCCAAATACATAAAATAACCATTAAACATCATAGTATTAATGAAGAACATGCTGCAGGAAAAAAAAATAGGACTACAAAACAAAACAAAAAAACCCCTGTAAAATAAAATGTGGAAAATAACTTAAGAATGTAATGATCAATATTTTTAAAATAGTTATAGTATAAATGTTACCAGTGTCTGAAATGTAAGCATGAAGTTGTACTGATTCATCAGAAGATACACTTGATAGGTCATCTAAAGACTGGAAAAAAAATTTTAAAAAGAATTTTTAAATTTTTCAGGAAAAATATTACAAGAAATCCATATCAAACATATATTGCTCATAGTTTCTAAATGTATATTTTATTTGTATTCATATGCTTAAACAATATTTTCCACTTACATTGAGAAAAGGCAAAATTAAGAAACTAAAACACTTTACGGGCTGGTGAGATGGCTCAGTGGTCTAAAGCACCTACTTAGAACAAGCTAAGCTAAAGCACAGGGACCGTGGTTCAATCCCCCAGCACCACATGCCAGCCAGCCCTGCCCCCTGGTGGGCTGAGCTGGCCACACACACACACACACATCCCAAATAAATAAATAAATAAATAAAATTTAAAAAAAAAAAAAAAAAAAAAAAAAAAAAAAAAAAAAAAAAAAAAAAGGATAAAAAAAAAAGAAACTAAAACACTTTAGTAATCAATAATCAGATTTCTTCTTCACTGCTTGTCCATATATTACAAATTGCTATTTTTCAATTATATTCAATATATGCCAGACAATTAAAATTGGACAATGAGCAAATGTCTAATACTTTAATTTTTTTATGTGTTGAAATAGACTATAGTCAGCCTTGCATTCAACAGTTTGTCAATTTATAAGTAGTTTTATCAGTTAATTAATTTAATCAGATTCCTTAGCTCTAAAATAAGAATAGAACCTAATAGAACCTATACTGTGGGGATTTAATGAGAAGATATGTAAGGGTTTTTTTTTTTTTGTATTTTAGGGAAGGGTCTACAGGATGTTCAGGGTCTCACTACTAGTTCAGACTCCTAGTGATCCACCTATTAACAGCCTCCCAAGCGCTGGGATTACAGGCACGTGCCACCATGCCCACCCACTCTCAATCTCTGTCTCTGTGTGTGCCGGGGCGGAAGCGGGGCCAGGGCCAGCACAACATGCCAGGGATGGAACCCTGGTCCCCCAGTCTGCCTAGGAAGGCACTTTAATCTGCTGAGCCATCTGGCTGGCCCTCTGCTCTAAGTGTTTCTGATGGCAACACGTGTGCTGTCACAAGTCATTGCCTGGGAAATTAAAAACATTATTTTGACTCCCCTTGAGAGAAGTTCTGGAAGGCTGTACCTTGTTTCCTCTGAACTTTCACCATGCTCCTTTCCCTTTGCTGATTCTCTTATCGTTTCACAGTAATGAACCTTAGACATGAGTATGACTGTGTTGAGTCCTGCACATCTCAGCAAGTTACTGAACCTGGGAGTTGTCATCGGGATCCCGACCCATAGACATTATGCACACATTAGCCATATTTCATATTTTAAAAATGACAGGACCTCAATGAGTCTTTGTGAGTCCTAATATGTTAGCAATTATTACTGAATCATCTAAATACATATATGCAGCTATTTGTAGGACATAAAGTCCTTTAAACTAAAGCAACTATATATATGAAGAAAACCAAAAGTATTTCCACTATAGACTGATCATCCTCAAGAGAAACCACAATAATTATATATAGATGACACACAGACCTTTCCTGGTCCTAAATTAAAATAAATTTGGTCTACTTCAGGTTCCACTACTGATATGTAAGAAATTTTAGCCATGTCAACTACCACATCTTAGGTTTCCACCTTCCCAATGGTAAAACTTTCTCAATATCTGCTCTACATCTCTGTCAAGCTAAAACATAAATGTTTTTACAAGAAATGAAATACACTTATTTTTAAGTACTTAATGTGGTCCATAATAACATATTTTAATAGCAACAATACACCCTTTATTTGAATATTTTTACATGAAAAAGAAACCTTGAAGAAATAGACTACTCTTCCACTGTTTGTCCTGTGTTAAATTACCTAATATAACTTACTTCAATTATACACTAGTACAGGAAACAAATCGGGGATTTTTTTGTTTTAAATACTATTCATAATGATAATGGGGCCGAGGAGATGGTTCAGTGGAATAGTGCAAGAGCCTGAGTTCAATTCCCGGTTACACCAAAAAAAAAAAAAAAAAAAAAAGTAATAATGATAACCTTTCCTTGTAGGTAACTTTTTAAAAGCTAAACAAACATAGTTGTCACTTTTTTTGGCTTTGGAGATAATAAATGTTAGTTACTATTTTCATTACATATAAAAATCTGATAAAAATTAGTTATAATTATCCTGAACAAGTAAGTAACAAAATAGACTACAAAATTACAATTAGTAAAATAATATTAGCTACAGACTTACATCTGCTTTAATGTGTAATACTAGGGTCATGCTTGGAATACCTCTCATTCTGGTCTTCTAAATACGTACTTTTTGTCATGTCATATCAACTACTGCCATACTGTCTCTCAAGTAAATGTTTAAAAAAAAAAAGGTAATAAATGAAAACAAAAGACAACAAAAAAAAAATGTCACAGGACTGTCCTGCTATATGGTTAGATTTCTAAATTTCTGTGTAAAAATATGTAATTGTTTATTCCAATTTTTAAAATTTTTTTTACTTAAAAAATTTTTTTTTCATTTTCTGTAGGGACTTAAAGTTTAACATATCAATATTTGATGGAAAATACCTGTTCCATGTTATGTCTAAGATGTTTCATATTCAGACATAATGAGATTCAGCTCCACTGCCTATGTTGTAGGGCAATAATAATAAGCTTCTCTTCTCGAGGGTTAACAACCTAAATTTGCAGACCAAAAACTAGAGAAAAAGGGCTGCAAGCACAGCCAATGTTTTGGCACTAGTCTTTCAAGTTCACTGAGGACTCTGGACTTCGGAGAACCTGTATTGTAACATCATGTAACTCAGTGATGTCCCAAATTTTCTGATCAAGGATATTATGGGGCCAGAGAGGAAAGTGATCGATGATGTAGAATGTGCCTAAAAACATTCACATGGAGAGAAAACATTCTCTCGGGCTTTCACAGAGAGCAAATTGGTCAAGCAATGGCCACGACTCATCCACATGGATCTATAAACTGTGGTACAGGGTTTCAAGATAAATCCTGAAGGGATTTGACTGACCTTGTCAGATACAATAGTTACATTTCTTATTATACAGGTCTTGCTTTATCTTGGTCTTAACCATCCAGCAGAAAAGTATAAAAATGAATTATAAAAAGTAAAGCCATATTAATATGCTGAGCTGTAAAAGGCTCAAGTCAACAACTTCTGACATTGCCAGTTCTATGGAAAACCCAACACTGTTATGGACTACTGGACTATATTAGAATATTTTGCTGCATTAACCCACCTACAATATTTAAATGACAATGGAAAAGAGACCTTGAAGAAACACTTTTTTCTCTGACAAAACTAAATAAAAAAAGGGGATACAAATGAAGGACCATTTTGCACCTGTATATTCAAAATAGGATAAATATACAGCTACTTTCTCTTAATTCAATGAATAGAAAGATTTGTATCATGTCTGCATCGTGTACTACGAATAACCACTAAGAAGACAAAAATATGCAATGCATTAATTATTGAAACTGTCCTACTAATTAGTTTTGAAAGTCTCACTGCTGTTTCTCAATAAAATTATTAAAAAGATTTACATCTGCTTTAGAAATAAAAGTACTAATTCTTTTAAAAGTTATGCTTTTAAAGTTCCTAAGTGTTGTCCTGAGAAAAAGACAATTTATAAAATAATCCTTGAGTGAAGATTCTTAAACTTTTTATAAGAACAATTGCTTTTAATATTATGTTAAGGCAAACCTAAAACCACAAATTTTTCTTTTCCAGCTGGGGTCTTGCCATACTGCCCAAGCAGCCTTAATATTCTGTGCTCAAGCATGTCCCCTGACTCAGTTCCAGGAGTAGCTAGGACTGTGACTGCATACTACTATGCTAAGCTGAAAATATATATATTTTTCTTATGACTAAGCAAACATAATTTTAACAGCAATGCTAGAAATAATTTTCCTGCCAATCTTAACTGTATAATAAGACACCAAACATATCCTTTGCTTAGTACAGTGGAATAAGCTATCACAATATAGTTTATTGCGATATGTAATCTTTATTTCTAAAATGCTGGTAGCCAAATTTGCATATTCACTTTGAAAGAATATGAAAGATTAGCTGTTTAAATGTCTGAATTTAACACACTTATGGGAAAAACAATTAAAATCAATTGTTAATGTGACTTTTTTAACCAGAGGCTGCTATGTTTTATATTACCATGTGACCAAAGAGCTCTATTTCTCTTATTTAAAAAAGCATTTATTCCAGAAATGGATTAGAGTAAACAACATTTACCAGTGTTTAAACACTAATATAAACACTATACTAAGAAATTTCAAGCCAAGAAAAATGCCATCACATATGTAAACTTTCTGTAGTGAGGATTATTATTGATGATTCACACTGTAGGAGAAATTCATTTTATTATAACATTTTGTACTATTAACATGTAAATGATATGATACCAAATAACTTAGAAAAACATTTTAAAAGTTACAAAGTATCTGACATACCACTCTGGCTGATTTATTTTAATAGTTTGCAAAACATAAGAACAAACCCAAAAATTCTTTCTTGTCTCCCTTTGGCCTTACTGCCTCCTTCCAACTGAACTTTGGCTTGAAAATTTCACAGAACACCGATGTCTTCCCTAACTATTCAGGTTACTGAGGCAGGAGAAATGCTTGTATACAGAAGTTCAAGGCCAGCTTGGGCCACATGGCAGGACCTCATCTCAAAAAA